CTCTCCTCCCCACAATCAAAAAGATTTCACTGGAAAGAATGCCTGTCCTTAAAACCAAATGACGCACCAACATATTTACCAGAATACTGGGAATTCAAATCCTCTTCCCTATTCACTACGAGAGGTTGAAGCACTCAAAAGTATCCCGAGTGGTAGCAAGTGCCAAGAACAACCACTTGTTGCCGAGAGTCTAGTAAATAGCAGTTACGCTCCAGAACTATCAGCTCCCAAGTTTCCGCAAGTCCCCGGTCAAACTATGCATTTGTACAAACATAAGCTCATCATGATACGCTCATTTTTTATGCAAAAAGCATAAAAACCAGGCAGTGCTATTACTTTCAGCGGCTATAAATTCAGGTTACGTATTTCAAAGAAATCACCGTGAGCTGTTCCTGCCCATTCCCATGCACTTTTCGAGATGAGGTGCAAAACGACATGCAGCAATGGCGCGCTTGCACTGGTCACACACAACATCCATATTCTTCTGATGCTTCGTCTGTGAATTCATCGTGCTACCAAATATATCGAAATCACCTTCCACCGTCGGTTCGCTTTGCGCATCTAAAGAGAATTTTCTAGATTACAGTTTTAATTAATAGTTTGGAAGACATCAACAACCGATGGTTTGTGGAGGGCAGTTTTTCTCAATCGGCAATCTCTGGTCACACCCTCAATCAGTGACCTCTGCAGAACATCCTGAACCGCTGTCTTTTGGAGGGCATTCTTGTCTCACATAACTGTAACAAGCACCGATTTAAAAGATGATGCTATCCTTGCATCGCAGCTAATAGGCTTCGAGATGTTAATGGGATGAAGTCACACGCAAGCATGCCTATAGGTAAAGCAAGTATTGCGCTGTTCTGCGCTGCTCCTAGAAACCGTCAAATCCTGTTCCGTCAATAAAGAAGTTTTTCGAAAAAAAAAGAACTGCAGATAAATAGCTGCTGAAGAGAAAAGCAGAAGCTAACCAGTGGAGGGAGGAGGGAGGACCGCGTTAGCGATTTTGGCGATTCGATGGACTTTGCATGCCGGCTCCAAAAGAACGGCATTCAAGAGATACTCAAACATCTGCTCACATATTTCTGAAAAAAAAACAAGCCCAGTAATAGAGCAAAAAAGCGATGTCGCAACCCGTCTGGCACATAAAATGGAGAGAAGCAAACTTCATAAAAAATAATTAAATCAATGGTGTATTAAGAAGGAAAGCGACTGCCTCCCCTCACCCCTCTCCCTTCCCTCCTCTCTCCTAATGAAACCGCAACAGAGAGGATGGTGGGAGGGAACCAGCTGTGTCCGAGGCAACGATGTTCCTAGATCGCGTATCGGAATCGAAATCACCACTAGCATGCTGGGAAAAAGGGAGCGAAGTAGTTGGAAGTAGGAAAAAAGATGAATAGTAGTAGTAGTAGCAGCAATAGCTAATAAACAGTAGAACAGCACAGCAGCTGCGACCGTGTGTTTTGTACAGCTTAACAAGCGAATTGGTCTGCGAGTGCTGCTGAAAAAGTGGTACCTGCGCCAACGGTAAGCTAAAAAAGCCAAAAGAAGTGCTAAAGGTGGCTGGAAAGTGCTTTATGACGTCAAGCAGCGCAAACTGTACGTAGCTAACAAGCAAACGGAGAAGGAATAAACAAACAGCATTTGTACGTGTGTGTGTGTGTGTGTGTGTGTGTGTGTACGGAGAGTGAATTTTTGCGACAAATTGATGCTGAGTTTGGAAGAGAGGGTGCCTTGTTTCAAGCAAACTTTTGTTCTGGACGACCGGTCACTCTGATCACCAAGCCCTTAATCGAGTAATAGACGGAAGCAAGAGATGATACGAAGCAGTAAATTTGAGACTGCTTACCGTTCAGATCAACAGCCCTTCGCGCTATTTTTTCATCGCCCGCGCGTAAAGCCATCGAGCGCTTCCGTGTACACTTGCATAACTTCCCAGACGTCTTCACTCTTTCAGCGCTTCCGGCAAATATATAACTCTGAAACAAGCATCGCCAGGACAAAAGCACAATGAGAGCAACTAGTACGGTTAGACAGGGACCGCCTAAGAAAGCAAAATCTCACGAAAAGATAACTCCTGACCTGTACTTCAGCATCATCGGCAAAGGAACGCAATGCGGCGCATTTAACTGAAGTTTTTGTGCGACACTCAAAAGTTGAACAATCTCAACCCACTCATCTCAGCTCGTTTTTCTGTCCCGATCTGAGCCGAGGGACGCGTGTTTTAGTTGTTTCCGGTTTTAGTAGATGCCCGATAACACAGCGTGTAGCTACATAAGACCAAGATAGCTCCGGGAACAAAAAAGGTAAAATCCCAGACAGACACCTCGGCAACACTAAAAAGCTATAAAACCAATGGTTCCCTACAAAGTAACACCGCTCTTTTCGGAGCACTTCGGCTTTCGAACTATCCCCTCCCGCTATCACCTACCCCTTGCTCCTTTCTCTCTCAACCATTACCGGTATTTCCTTTCGGAGCGAGAAATAGTTTAGGGAATCACGGTGGCAGGCAGCCCAGTACGCTACAGTCAGTCTAGTTTCTTCCCAAACTTCCTACCTCAAAGCAACGACTCAGCTCCGTTCCAGGCAATAAGCTCGCCTTCTCCGCCATGTTACGAGCCCCAAAACCGGCCCTGTCCCCCTCCAATCGAGTTTGATAATGAAATTTAAATTATTCCGGGATAATCTACCGTGCAGCTCTACCAGGTATACGCGCAGTGAGATCGACGTTTAAGGTCCGGGCCGGCTAAAAATCTCGAAATAGCAAAACTATGTTAGTCGCCATGTCCGGGATCCAAGCACCCCCCTCCAGGGATATTACTTGCCATGATGAAAGGACACGCTCGCAAGCAGCAGCACACTGCCACAGGCTCTTTCCCTGAGCTATATGCAAAACTAAACATCGAAATGAATCGTCTTGCAGCCCCTATCCATGCTGAAAACATGATCAACACACGAACTGCTCAAATTTTTACTAACTAAACCACTCGAGAGAATACCACCGACTTCCGAAAAAGCCTTAAACGGCTGCAACACTCAGGGGCTATTTTGTTACTCGGTGAGAACGTCGAGAAGCGTTTTGGTACTTGGTGGTAAATGTTTTGCCACGAACTTTCGAAAAATTACAAACGACTACAGTACACGCGGACTATTTCGTTACGCGGTGAGAACATCAATATTGGAGCAGCGTACCGACCGTAAATTTCTTGCAGCTCAATGTTTAAAGCAAACAAGTCAATCTGCGAATGCTGCTGAAAAAGCCGGAATTCTCGCATTTTTCATTTTTACCCTTTATACAACAAGTTGATCGAAATTGCAACGTTCAAAAAAAAAAAGAAAAAAATGCTGTCATCCGAGCGTACAAAAAAAAAAAAGAAAAATGCTGAAAAAAGGCAGTGTTTTTGTAGAGTAAAATGGAAAAAAAAAAAAAAACAAAGGAGAATGCAAGTATTGAATAAAAGCCATCGTACGGTGTAGTGGAAATAATTTTTTACTGCACTGTATTCCGCATTTTTTCGTCTGGTAAGAAAAGTAGTGGAATTTGGGTTGGAGTAGCGAAAGTTGGTTGCGATAGTTAAGTGCATAAAATCACCTAGAAATTGTTGAGCTGTAATCAAAGAAGGAGCAGAGGAGAAGGCAGCGGATGGGGTTGGCAGGGTTTTCTGACTGCAAAATGCCTGTTAAATCGGAGATCCGTTGTTTTTCCATCTGTAACACACACAAACATGCAGGCACAGATATGTGTAAAAGCAATCGCATACATTGTGAGAGTGATCATACTACAACAGCAAAACATCCAAATTTCACGTTTCAGATTTTGTCCATCTTCAAATAGCATTTGCGATGAGCTGCCACTGCACGTGCTGTTCGGCTCTTCACAGTTTGTTTGTTGCCAGGCACATCGTTCAGATAAATGGTCCAGCGAAAGTAGCATTTCAGCGTCGACTGACTGCTGCGTGGCAAAAGCGCGAGCAGCACACGATTTTCGCCACTTTTCTGTGTAAAGGACTGAGTGAAATGCAAAGGGTTCTTAGCCTCTTTTTCATTTTTGTTCGAAATTCAGGGCTTTCTCTCTTTCATGCATTTCCCCGGAACATCTGCCGAGCTGGTGAACAACGCAGAACTTTTCTTGAATTCTACTGAAACTTAGCTTAAGCTTCCCCTAAAATTTCTCTCTCACTTCGCAAAACCACTTTTTTGATCACGGATTTATCATTACATTTTCCCATCGCCAGCACTGTTCCGACAGCCACCAACAACATCCCCAGCATTTGCACGTACTGCCATCTAAGTTATTTCGATTGCGCCCTGGTCCCTCGTAGTAATTTAGTCGGGAGGAGCTTTTGACTTTGTCTTCATTTCTTTAGGAAATAAAAACTAAAATTTTTAAACCCGTCCGGTGGGGATCATGTGGA